TGAAATCTACCGAAGTCTTTGGATTGGTTAACGGAAGAGAAAATGGTCTACTGAAGTCTTTGGTTTGGTTAACGGAAGAGCCTTCTACCGTTTCGAACCGATCTGTGCCCAGACCTACTGCAGGGCACCCACCGCATGTGTTAAATTGCCCCACCCAACCCATAGCTTTAGCCTTTACCCACCGTACACAAACACAAAACCAACTTATTGCTTGCTCCCACCATCTATAGAGACCAAAATGAGTGAAGTTATGATTTGTGTACTGAACAACACAGATTATACAAAAACTTCATGCGTCTTACATATGCATTTTATCCATTTGCACTCCTAATTTGTTACTTTTTGACCGAGTAAGTAAAATAAAGGGAACGAGTGCAAACAAACAAAAGTGAAGTGTGAAAGTCGTTGCGCATTATAAAACCTGCGTCGACATGTTTACCTTTCAATTAAGAGAGATAAGGAAATAATTTTATTCTCCATAAAAATGAAATGATGGGTCAATATGTAATTTTCTTACCTTCTTGTTTTTTTTTTTTGGGTCTTCAAAGGGGTTGCACCAAAGACGGGCTTTGGGAACCATAGCATGTTATATGTTAAGTAGGCCCAAAAAGTGACGAAATGGAAAGCATGACAAGGTCAACTTTTCTAGTGGTTGTGCACCTTCTAAATTTAGTGGTTGAGCAAGCAATTTATATCATGTCCATGGAAAAAGTTCGTAACTTCTCTCCACATCCTTTTGAAAAAGAAATGAGAAAACCCCTTTAATTATAAAAGAAATCGAAACATTATTCGTATATTGAATCGGATGTTTGGTTTTTTCCCAAAATGAAAACCCGTTACAACAAGATGGCAATCTAGAACTATTAACTTGAGCTGAGAATTATAGTATACGAGGATGAACAGCATCTAGTACCAGACGTTAAGGAAAGGATGAGGCCCTTCCCTCTAAAGCCGAAGTCCCTTCCCTCTAAAGATTGACTGAGAAAGAGGATGTCCTCTCGTCACAAGAGGCCAGTGGACATATAGTAACGAAAATGAAAAGTCTCCAAAAGCAGTAGATTATTGTTGCACAGACAAGAAGTGTACTCCCTACAATCCTAATCCTAGGTAGGGAGGGTCACCCTTTGATACACTTTGACGTTTGATTGAGTTGACATATGTAAATATATTATTCTAATTACTTTATGATAGAATTTTGTTACATGTTATCGACTTTTTGTAACGATTGATAGATTGTGAGCCTCATATACATCAACGGTCAAGAATCACCCATGTACGCATAGGCAACTCACTTTAGCATAGAGTAATATAAGTATAGCCCTCGACAATAAATCTAATATATATACATTCATAATCCTCGAGTGACTAAGTATGGCCCTGGATTTTCATGTGCTTGAGAAAAGGTCCAAAATGTTTGTCCACTTTTCCTCTACATACCTACTTGTTTGCTTTTTGTTTCCATTTGGGGGGATTGGGTACTGTATTGGAAATTGATGCATCATCATGATCAGTCTAGTTACATTTTAAAGTTTTGTCAGTGTACTATAATTTGAATTTTTACCGAATAAAACGGATCATGTTGTGTTATCTCGTTAATTTTATGAGTCATATTTATATTTGAGTTTTTTTATTTATTAATGGTCATATTGGTGTCAATTCGTCAAAACACAATAAGACGTATACAACACCATCCGAAAACGAAAAAACAACTCGTTTACCAAGTCTAGTTATCATGAAACGATAAAATAAAATCATTAGATTTGAAAGGTGAAGATGACTTCAAATGCATAAAATAACTCTTTTTCTTTTTCTTTTTTTGTAAATGCATAAAAAGAACTTAAAAACGAATAGAAGCATGTTCAAAGTCAAAGCCCAACCCAAGTTGTCTAGGAATCGAGTGACACTTTTTATCGGCGATGCTAGACCACTCTTCAAAGGCACACAATTCGACACAATGCAACCTTGTGAGTTTCCTCTCTAACCAAACTATTGTCTGACTTATGTATCATCAGAGAGTATTTCACCGACCCCACATTGGCTTTGCTCCAACAGTTTCTTGCTGTCTTCCAACGTTTTTAACTTTTGTGTTATTTGATTCTTCGATCCAATTCTAAGAGCTTACATATTTTACAATGCATAATTGGGATATCATCATCCAGCTAGAGATGGTCATAGGTAGTCCTTGTTGGAAGTTTAAATGAAATTCAAAAACCTTTGTCCTATATTAGTAGAAAGTAGAAAGAGTGAGGTCTTTATAAGTATGGAAGTCTCACACTTAATAAATAGAAGTGGGTCAAGTGGAAGCAAATTGAGCTTCAAAAACAATTTGGGTTTTGAATATTATATAAAATTATATAATATTTAATGGTAAAAAAGATGGGCCTTGGGCCTTGGGACACTTTCAGATTTAAAATTATTATTTTTGGTTTCGGATTAGTTTTATTAACTGTTTCTAACAGTTGTGACTCTTCTGATAAGGTTTCATAAGTTTATTTAAATCAAACAAAGCTTCATTCGTTTGATACAGTAAAAAGCATTCTACAAGCATTTCATCTTGTCTGAGAGGAAAACAAACAACGTTTGCCATATTCTAAGTCCGAGTGCTAGGGCTTAGAATACAGATAGTTGAATCCTGGGAGGTAGTCGCTTGTAGAACTTCAAGCACCGAGAAAGAGTGAAATTACTGTCTTTAGGACATTGCATCAAATCTGCAAGCTTTTATCTTGAATCTAAGTCAGTTTCATTTATTGTTTATATACTGTATTTTGTATTACAGTTTGTTATAAATTATGTTTATATAATTGTTTTAATTAGTCACTGATTGTTGTTTTTCCAACAGTTATTGGGTCCAGATTAAGCTCTCTCAACTTGAGAAAAACTTACCTATATCGGATATCACTGTGGCGCTTATTCGAGCCAATCACTTATTGTCATGTGTTTTAACTTTCGATATAACAATGCGTGATAGACTTTGAATACCACCACGTTACATGTAAGTTCTTCTCAACGAAACTTATGTGTGTGATTTTTGGTGCATATTAAGTTGCAATAAATTACAAAACATTGCTAGTGAAGATATCAATATAAGAAACTTACTTATAATATCCATCTCAACTAAACTCAATTTATCGGATTACGCCATCAAATCCATCTCCTATTAATGACATCAAATTTGAATCGGATTCAAATCAAAATTTGATCCATTAACAACTCTAATTCTAATGAAATAGCTAGTTGATTTTGTAATTTGAGTAACAACATTTTTAATAAATAATTCTAATGAAGCAAAATAATAAAAAGTACTATTCTTGAAAACCATGTCACGCAATTTAAATGAGATTTTCTATTTAAACCCCGCACTTCTCTTAATTCACCCCAATACTTATATCATTAAGCTGTAAGTTTTATTATTGTGTAAAAAGACCAAAAAGGTCATCCAACTTAATACTTAACCCTACCTATTACATCTATACACACACCCCACCACTCTTCATATTAAGTTTTAGAATGACCTATGCAAGAAGCACAATTTGCCTTACAAGCGTTTGTCCTTTTGGGATGCCAATGTAACCACTATTAGGCTTCTAAGGTCTGCTGCCCGGAAGGCTTGGGACATGGATCTTCCAATCCCGAAGAACTTGGCCTAGGAAGCTGTTAATACCCATGGCTGAGAGTTGTTGACGCTCATCAAGATATTGCCCCCACATTACCTTTATCTGTTTATAAGTTGGGGCATCTAGAATGGAGATAAATTTTTCAGCAGGTTTTTCAATTGCTATTTGATAACTTTTTTGGCACTCCCTTCGACAGTATTTGATTTATATATGTTTCTCTGTTTAGACCTCCATAACAAACTACAATTCCCATATGATCTAATCCCATGATAAAAACAGCTTGTAAAAACAACAAAATCTCATGTATACTATAAATATTGTTTAATTATTTAAATATTGGGGTAAACAAAGAAAATTATGGGGTTTAAATAGAAAATCTCTTTTATTTTTTATTTTTTCAGCTTGGGATGTATTTAAGGGTAGTTTGGGAAAATAGTGAGGTTTTCTTAGAAATTGTGAAAATTTAAATTAAAAGTTGGGGTGAACTAAGAGAAGTGTGAGGTTTAAATAGAAATCACATTTCAATTAAAATAAAAATCTAATCGATATCGTTTCTTTTTTTCTTCATTTTTATTTTGTCTGACCCATTATCGTTTTTCTTTTTCTTGGGACCCCAAAAACCAAAAGTTGCATGGAACCACAAAGCTAGTTGTCTTTAATGAATAACAAAGGAATGTTCAATATTTTAATTCACAACTCAATAATATATGGATCACATCACAAGAAAAGAATCCAAAGAAAAGGGATAGAAACAAATTGCAGATAATAATGAGGGATATGCAATGCAGATATGGAATGACCCTAAAACGAGTCCAAAGAGCCAAGATATGTATATTCTACAGTCTGACACTACATTGCTACTTTTTTTTTCTTTCGTTCTCAAGTGATTAAGAATGTGTATTCATACACTCAGAGTTCTGTGTTCCTTTTATCCTCCTTCGATATCGCTGGTATATAATAAATAAATAAAAATCAACACTATATACACATTACATTACACAATACCATATATAGGCAAAATACATAAACAAAGATTTATAAATTTTCTACTTTTGTCTACCTTAGCAACATTCCCAATATGAACAAAAATTAAAAATCCCACCAATTTCATATTAAATATTCATAGTTTAATTGCCTCATGTTCATGAGTCATGAATAATGGTATACATCCCACCAAAATGGCAAACGAAAAGAACAAAAAAACAAAAGAAAGGAAACGAGCCCAACAAAACAAATGAAAGCAAGAAGCTTACAAATAAAGCCCAACCTTGGACAAGGAAAATTTCCACTACCCAATTAAAAACCACAACCCAATTAGCAAATTAAAAGCATTAAGCAGCTCCCCTCTCATTAATTCTCACTACTACTAGTTGCATGTAAATTGTGTTATTCCTCTTGATGTTGTTGTTGTTGTTGATGTTGATGTTGCTGTTGTTGTTGTTGTTGCTGCTGTTGATGTTGTTGTTGCTGCTGCTGTTGTTGTTGCACTTCTTCTTCCTTTATTTCTGGTGATGTGTCTGCTGCCTGGGCCGCCAGAACATTCTCACCGGGGACGGCAGCCAGAGGCGGCGGAGGAGGGTCGAGTCTGCCATCTAGACACGATGAGCATTTTGTCTCGACCCATGCTTCGAAGTCATAGTACCGTCCATGACCCATGATCCGACGACCCGAGCAGAGCCTACCAATCATGCCGGCTATGACTCCGAGGATGGTGATCACTGCAACCACTGCAATCACAGGTCCCACCGACCCGTGACCCGAATGGGTCGTGTAGGCTTGCTGGGTCACTGCCATGGGCGGTGGCTGCAGCTGCTGCTCCATAAGTGAAAGTTGTGGTTTTGAATCCAAAAAATGGTGAGATTTTTGAGGGTTTTAGAAGAGACTGAGAAAAGTTGCTGCCTTTTTTTGTTTTTTGTTTTGGTTAGAATTTAACTTTTCAGCTGGATTGATAGATTTTTCCCTGAAAAAGGAAGATGATGGGAAGCATGTGAAAGAATAGTGGGGACTGTTTAATTTGTGCGAGGAAGGGAAGAAGAGAGGTGGAAAAGGGAGTGAGAGGGAGGGATATATGGGAATGTTTTTGGGGGGGACAAAACCCAAGAAAAGCCCTTTTCAAATGGGAGGGAGATTTAGCTTTTTTTGGGAGCTTTTTCTGGTGTTGTAAAGAAAATGAGAAACAGCTAGCTTGTACAATGCTTTTATCAATATGCCAAAGGGAGGACTTGGATCCTCTGCTTTTTCAGACCTTGCATAGTTGCATTAGGCAGTGAGAGAGAGCACTTTAAAATAAAAATGCATTCATTTAGCTTAAATGAAAAGCTGAACTGGTGATCTAACCTGTTTGGATTTTCCAAACATAACCAGGCCAGCCATTAGCTTAACCAGTCCGTTTGGTTTGGCCAATTTGTGTGTTTAGAGGATAGAGGAAAAAGAAAGGAGATGGAATATGAAGATTAAGGGGAGAAAACATATATGGATGGACACTTTGATAAATTGTTTTTTTTTTATTTAGAAAAAAGAAGATTCAAACGCGGGACTTCTTTCAACAAAGTAGAGAGATATCATTAGATGAATGGTTGATAAAAACGATGAATAAAATGCAAGGCATTTCGACTTGTTCACACTGGGATCTTTTATATTTTGTATTTTGTACTTTTTTTAAGAGAACATTGTATACCAATAATTTTTGGAATGGACTTTTGCGGACATTATTGGATTAATATTGTTGCCTGATGTTTGAAACTGTTCATTTTTTGGAAATCGTTCATGCAAAAGATTAGTGAAATTGAAAATAATTTAAACATTTGATTATCATAGCATGATGATTATTTATGTGATAGATGACTATATAGTTTCTAATTTTCCTTTATCGTGCGTTTGGATAAGGGAAATAAACTTGGGATTTTGACAAAACTCAGAATTTCTAAATTGACATGAACCAATTTCGGTGTTTGGATAAAATAAAAAAATAGAAATTTAGAAATTCCCCGTGGAAACAAACATGGAATTTGGAGATCATAAATCCCAAGTTTAAATTCTATCTAAAAGTTGTCATTTCTAAAATCCCAAGAGAGATTAAGTTTTAAAAAACGATAAATTTACAAATAAAGGTTAAATTCCGTGTTTTAAATCAATCATCTAAACAAGAAATTTTACAAATTCTATAACATTAATTTCCACTTTAAATTCTGTCATTTATGAAATCCTTTATACTTTCAAATTTCCTCATCCAAACGCACTGTTAGCAACCATCATCTTTACGTCTCAAAAATGGATGATTCTAATCATTCCATTGCATTGGGAGATCACTAGGGCTTGTTTAATAGGGAGGACTAGACTGAATTGGACTTTACTAGCAAAATGCCTACATTTCATGTGCATTCAAGGCATAATATGAATATATTGCCTAATTTCAAGGATAAATGGGGACTATCTATAAGACGTTGATGACTAAAACTTATAAATAGTCCCCATTCATCTTCCAAGTTAGACAACAATATCAATATTATGCCTTGATTGCTAGTCTAGTCCTTCCTATCAAACATGTCCAAGTTTGTAGATGTTGCAATAGGTTCTTCTTCCTTTGTTTTTTAGGAAAAAAAAAGGTAATCGCTTTTTTTTAATATAAGGAATAGGTTTGCTTTTTTTGATTGTCAAAAAGTGTAACATTTCTGCCAAAAAAAGGTCAAAAAGTTAAAAACTATATCAAAAACTTTAAGCCAATTGGACCACAAGTCTCTCTTCTTTTCTCTGTCTTTTCCACCAATTATACGTACTCGGAAGTTAAAGAAGCAAGGCCTAACCATCTTAGTGATGAAAATTTTATTTTGGCACATTAAAGAATTATTCTAGAGAAAGGATTGATTGATTGCCCAACAATTGAAGCCAGCTAGTTCATAGTTAATGTAGGCTTATAAATGTGTTTTGGTATTTAACCGAGGGCTCAAATTGTTTTTTTCTCAGTGATTAAATTGAAATTTCGTGTAAAACTCAATGACCAAAAAGTTATTTAACCTAACAACTTAACGACAAGTTTATAAATTGTAAACTTTAGTTAATACAGTGATCAATATGGCTAAATTTTTTACTCATTGACCAAATTGAAATTTCATGTAAAACCTAGTGACATTTAGTCTTTTAATCAATGAGTTTACTATTAACCCAAGCTTGAATAGGGTGGTTGCTTGATTGGTCTTTCATTTATTTATTTTTAAGTGAGATTGAGTCTAATCCAATTAACAAATCCCAAAATTAATCTCACTAAAATCCTTTTAGCCAAAAAGGTGGCAAACATAGAGAGCCACAGAGAGGCCAAGGGTCAGGTCAGCATAGATAGAATCTAGCCTGAAAGCAGAGAATATGTCCCTGATGTGTTGATGATGATGACGATTATGATGGTTCATGATATACAATAATTTTTTTTTGGCAGATCCAAATATATAAAAAGATGGTATTGGGGACTGGAAATTGGAGAGACAAGGACAAAGATCTCAATGTGCTCGCACAGAGGTTACAACTTAGGCTCAGGCATCTACCAGCTTTTCTCTATATCATTTTTTGAATCCAAGCACTCCTTGTCGGCTTCTTTTTTCAAACTAGGTGCATTTTCAGTTTGGTTTAGAGCTAATTAACTCTCTCTCTCTCTCTCTCTCTCTCTCTCTCTCTCCATTTTGAAAGTGGAAATTAGAAAGAAACCAATGTAAACAACAAGTACTGTTTACTGATGATATCAGGCTTAGTTCACACCGGGTCACCACCTTCACTAGTCACACACTAGTTTTAAAAAAGGCCCAGACTCGGTGAGAGAAGCTAGCATACCTGTCTATATGCGCGTGAATGACTGATAATTAATTATGGGCGATTGTGAACCTCACACCTACTAACGATTCGAAAATACATGCGTATTTGAGCAATTAAAGCTAGCTTTTGGCAAACCCCAATAAACCAACTTCGTTTGTGTTTCACAAATGACTGTGTGGTTTAAAATTTATAGCCTGAGAATATAACATTCCAGATATTTGCCAAAACAATGTTACCTTTCATGTGTCATGCTGCAAATTAGTTAATATATTCATTCATATATATCAACTAGTTATAATGTGCTGTGCTGCATTTGGTTTTCCCATAAATGGCAAAAGTGAATAATACTTGAACAGCAAACTAGTTATTCATATGTTCATGGTTCCATTAACAACTTCAACTAGATTACACAACTTTTTCATAGAGAGAAATGCTATTAACATTACAAATCATTCATTTAGTTCACAGATCCACATTTCTTCCTTATTTGCCCATCTTTCCCAGTCAATACTCCAACATTACCAAGCTTCACCATTGATGCAGCAAAGTCATTAGAGAAAAGAAAAGGGTTTGCACTATAAGAATTAACCATTGCAGCAGTATTTGGATCCTTTACCAATGCCTGATCAGATTCTAGAAGACCTGTGTTGCTAACCAGGTTTGTGTAATAGGCATTGTCAAATCTGAGATTAGTGGAATCAAGAGGAGCAAGATTGCTGTTTGCTGAATCTTTTTTGGGACATAGGCGTCTCAAGTTTGTTAGGGCTGAAGAATCAAGTGTTGGGTCAGGCTTGCCAGAGCCGTCGAAGTCGAAGAGTCTTCTCTTGAAGGTGAAGCATTGAGCAAATCCTAGAGTATGTCCACCTTCAAGAAACAAAAGCAAGAAAGATGTTCATGTCAAGAATATTAGGATCATTACTTTAGGCTTTAAAACTTTGGAGAATGACTAAACCCAAAAGAGAGAAAAGAAAAAGAAAAAAAAAGGGATGGTTTTGGTGGGAAGAAAGTGAAAAACAAGAACCTGAGAGGACTACAACATCTTTTATGTCAAGACCCTTTGATGTGAACTTGGCAGTGATATTCTCTAAAGGCTCAATAGGTGATGGTAGTTGTTCAGTAACTGCCTTCTCACTTGCAGTTGTTCCATCTCTTCTGCCCAATGGAACAGGCCAAAAAGGCCCTCCTGCCTAAACCAGAATAATGAAATGAAAGTGAGACTAGAAAAAAAGACTGCAAAGAGAAACAACCAATTTGGTAACTTGGCCATAAGATATAGAAATCTGTCAAGTATACCAGGCCAACAGCTTCTCTTGCTGCAAGAGTCAAAATATCAGCACACGAAACAGTCGATGGGCAAAATCTCTCAACATCTGCCTTTATATTGTCAATCACTTCGAAACCCCGAAGTGACTTACGATTTGGCAAAGCATTCTTCTCACCCTTAAAGTCTTCTGTGTCATCAAGAAGCACTGAGCCGTCACACCCCTACAAAACAACAACATTGGATATAACACTTTGTGTCAACACAGAGTTGCTCTTAAGTTGCTTCATGATTGTTGCGCGTAACTTCTTAGCGGTAGAGGGAGATAAATATATTGAGTTTCTAGTAAAGGCTTCCGCAGAATAAATTATTAGGAAGTACATTTTTCATATTGTCACAAGAAAGTTGTAACTTCCATGATATTCTTGCTTAGGATGTGAGGATTTCTTGAAGTTGCTTAGGACCAACTTCAGGCTATTTGTTTGGTTTTAGAACAAAGGATTTTCCTTTGCAATCAATATATCTTTTAAAGTTTTCTAACTCTGTATGAAAATGTGAATTGCAGACATGTGTAAATCTAATATATCTGCTGTCTTAGGTCTTCTTTTGCAACCAATAAAAGGGTGAAAAGTAAAGGAGAAAGCTACTAGTAAACAGTCTAGCACTCAGTATTAGTAATTTTTACTTTAAAACATCCTAGTTCTTCAAAGGAGATAAAGATGTGGAAAAGGTTTAAGAAAGAACAGTTACATTGACGATACAATCGTGAAAATGCATCCGAAGAAGGGATGCAGCCATCCTGGTGTCATTCCTGATAGCTGCCCACAAATTGTACCTAACAGTCATTGATAAGCGGGGGCATGATCTGTCGTAGAAATTGTAATCAAGCTGGCTATAAGCAAATGGATGCATATGAACAAAGGGAGACAAAGACAAGAGTAAACATAAAGAAAAAGTGAAGTAGGAGATGATTTTGTGAGTCATAGCTGGTGATCAATGTAAAAGGTTTGCCTGTGAAATTCCGATTCTGATGACATAGAACAGGATCTTTTGCTGTTATTTATAGGCGAAAACACTGAAAATTCAAAGTGATTTCATTGGTTAAACTCAGAGTGGTAATGCCACTAGTTGGAAAAACCTAATGGCCAACTCTGCAACTAAATTATCATATTGGAGTGTTTTTTTTCCAGATGATATAATCCATTTACTATTTTATTACTTCTTTTTTTCCATGCTAACAAAGCAAAGTTCCACATCATTCAACTGCTCTCTTTCTGAAGCAAAAGGAATGTTGAAATAACATGAACAATGTCTTTGCTGCAACAAGATGTCAAACTTGAAAAGTTAAAACATCGATGATCAATAGCACTACAGAAACAGCCAAAAACTCATTGCACTGGTGACCTCTTACTTCAAAACTTTTTATACATAAGTTGCTAGTGATGAATGAATCTGATGATTTTGGACAAAGCAAATTGAAGATTTGTTCTCAACTATTTCTTAATTGGTAAACTTTTAGTTTCAATTCAACACATGCGCTTTTCACAATTGCTTGTAGTTTGAGATTGTTTCCAAATCAGGGCAATGGATAGCAATTTAGAAAAAGAAGTTTACTGACACTATTTCTGAAGCAGCATGGACTGGTTGAAATTTTAGTATGATCATGAGGTGAGAAAGACATAATTAAGTAATCTAAATAGATGCATGTGGTAGGAGCAAATTCCAAAACCTGACCAGGATCTCATATTAAAGATTCATGAGAATATATTGTTTAAGTCTTTTAGTCAATGTGCAGAGATAAGGGGCGGCCTGCACACAAAATGGCTAATGTTTATCATATAAATACAAAGGAGTGGAAGTACAAGTGTCACTGAGGTGAAGGCTAACCAAAGATATTTCATCAAGCACTTTGCATTATACAACTGCAAGTCCTCAACTTTTTCTGATAGTAGATATTTGAAAAAGCACTTGGCATGGCATTTATGCCACTACATTTGCACTTCTGATAGTTTTAACTTCAGAAAAGAACTGGACTGGGTGGGTGTATGTCATCCCATTTTGCTTTGTGGTAAGGTAAGAGAAAAAAACTGGAGACCTAACAAAACCTATCTCTTCCAATGATGGCATATCCTATCAGAGAGGTGGTTCAAATCCAATGAACTTGGGTTCAATTTTAAAAGAACTGAGAACTGAGATACTGATGTAAACCAACCTATAAATATAATTATGTTATGAACTAATATAATTCTATAAAAACAAGAAGAAGAAAAAAAGGTATGGCATTTTTCGTAACGATTTAGCCTTGGTGATGCAAAGTGAACAAAAAGAGAAAAGATGAACACATAATTACAGAACTATTCCATGTATGTAAGCCTTGTTGAACTGAAAAAGCATTGTGTTCTTGCTTCTTAGGTTGATTTTTCCATATCATGTACAACATAAAAAGGGTACAAAGATAAGTTGGCAAACATGAAGTAGTGGCCAATTGAAGTGAACTATAATGATGCATATGGGAAACTAATGCTTAAACATGGAAAATGACTGACCACATTGCCTGACATGATTGCTAGGAATCATGTATTTCATTTTGGGATCCACTCCAATTGAAAAGGGGCACTCATGCTGAAATCCCATCACAAGATTAAGTTTTTACAAAACTGTAGATGGGCAATTGGTATTTGGTGGACAATGTCATCAATCAAAAACTCATCCTAAGATTCCCAAAAGCACTTGTAATTGCATATGTTAGGTTAGACCAGTTAGTCAATGCAATGTGTTCCTCCTCTCGTGCCCAAGTTCAAATTCCCTCGCTCTAAATTAGAATAATTTATATTGTCTCTTATATAAAATAAATAAATATGTGAAAGTTGTGTGTAGTAACAGGGATGGTAATCCTACCGGTTTCACGGTTATATTGTGTTTGGAAGTTGTTTCCATCAACATGGCCTATTAGCTCAGCTGGTTAGAGCGTCGTGCTAATAACGCGAAGGTCGCAGGTTCGAGACCTGCATGGGCCACTTCTTCTTACTTCTTTTTTTTCCTTCTTTTTTCCATGTTTATCCTTCTGAAAACAAACTGTTCCGGCTTTCAGATATAAGGTTCTGTATATGGGCCCAATGATTAGGATTTGAACTTTTTCATTGAGATTTTTGATTCAATATTTGTTTCTTTCTTCTAAAGGAAGACGATTTCTGATAAGAACCCTACCATGGTTTCAAATTTTGCTGGTTATACCTAAAACCAGAAACCACCATGAATTCCACACCTGAACCAAATCCTGCTGATGAAGTCCTCCATTGAGCAAATGCTTATGACTATTGTTGTGTTTAAATATTTTAGATGTTGTGATGATAAAGGAACAATGAAAAGTTAAGCAGTAGAGAGAGAGAGAGAGAGATGTGCCCATCAACTTCATTATTCAAATAGAATTGTACAAAGAGAACTGAATGCCATCCCAAATGCAAAGTACCTCTATAAAAAATGCAAAACAAAAAAAGTGATCACTATGATCACTGCCAAGAGCTATGACATCCCCATACCTTTTTTTTACCATACTATACATCTCAATTAAATCAATAAAAATCATTTCACAAATTATGGCTACTTAACCAAAATCCCCCTTCTTCTCAAGACTCCTCAGGGAAGGCAGAGCCATGCATGTACCAATAACTGAGTAGACCTTCTTCAACAAAAATGGGGCACCACCAATCACCCCTAAAGCGAATTGATGGCGCTTATGGGCTTGCCTCTTCCCATGGTGAAGCCCCTAGTCCCATCTGGCATTCTTGGGCCCTTGGCATTCTGTTTTGCAGGTGCTTCACACTGGATGGTATTGCTTGACTGTGGAGATGGAGCAATCAGCCCGCGGCCACTCTGTCCCTGGCCACGCCCTCGGGCCTTACCGCGTCCCCAAGCCCATCCTTTCTTGGATGCCGCCAAATTTTCTTCCTACCCAAACATATTCTCATGTGAGATCAACATCTTATTTGAAATTGATAAAACTATTTGTGACACATGCAGCATTGCTTCATTGTAAACATAGCATGCAATCTACATTGTACAACTGACATTTGGTAATTTCAAATTCTAACACTATTCTCAGACCATCTGAGGGATCTACATGCTGTAAAAAGACAGTGTTATGGTGATGTAATGGCATGATACTGTGATTGGTATGCAAGGAAAGACTCACATTAGGACTATCGGTAACCAATTCAGGGTTGCTTGGCTGAGAAGTTTCTTCTGTACAGTCATATTGTGGCTCGTCATCCTCTAAAATGCCATCGAAATCAGACTTTCGGTTCTTCAAAACAGATTTTGGCTGTAAATTAAATTACATCAGAAGTAATGAGGCTGTGTCAAACAATTGGAGGTTAAAGATGTAGAAGTTTTATATAGACATACCGAGCGTCTAAGCAGCAACCTTACTCGGAGCCCTTTTCTCCAGTTCCCTTCATCACTCAACTTATCAACCTGTAGCATGAAAAAATGTTAAGAAAACCAATGGTGTAACTCTGAAGTTATAACAGCAATCAACGTACCGCTCTCTCTGCTATATCTGTTGTCTCATACTCCACAAGTGCATGAAGCTTCATAAAATAGAGAAGAAATTTAAGAATAAAAGATAACTTATACAATAAGTTCCTTTGGAATTATATGTATGGCTATTAGATAAAAAAATGGTTCAATTTAATGTTGTACCTTGTTGCTGATAATGAAATCGCCTTTGGACCGGGAAGAATTAGATTCATGGGGATGGCATATTCGGATGGTTTTCACACTGTTCTTGACAGCAAATGTAAATATACAGTGATGATTCTCTTAAAACGTATGATAACACAAAAGAAAAGGAAGGGAAATAATAAGCTCAGTGCAAAAATCCAACCTTCCAACCACACTAAATATCTTCTCTAGGTTTTGATGAGAGTGATCTTCAGGCAAATTCTCTGCCACAACAGTACGCGACTGCAAGAAGGAGAAAAAGAAGACACAACATAAAATGATTCATGAAGCTATTTACATCCATGTGGTTTAGGAAGAATCTGTTTTTACCTGCAATTCCTCTTTGTCTTTTTCAGTGAAAGGGTACTTACGTCTAACCTTCTTGCCATCTTCATTTACAACCTTTAATAACATTATTCAAGAACAATAATGAAAGCTTGAAGACCAAATGAGAAATATTATTCAGACAAGAAAAGAAAAGGAAAAGAACTGATCAGAAATTCTATCAGACAACTTACAAGCTTTGAAGAGGACCGGAGTGCTTGCGCAAGCATGTGGTTGTTACTAATAAGTGACTTCATTTTTTTGGTGGAAGCAACAACAGATATTGGAACTGTTTTACATAAAAAATCATGCATGAATTGAAAAGCATACCAAAAAATTTACTTAATCTGTATAAATTACACTTTGAAAATGCTTACCATAGCCTTCGGGATCTTTACTTATGTGTTTCACTAAAGATTCATTTGCCAGCAGACTCATGTCGCTGAACTGGTACTCCACCTGTTTTATGCAGAAATAGTCCTTAGATTCAGGAGGTGCTGTCATAGTTCAGTCCTAATTGTTTAATGACCAGCATCAATAAGGATGACAGGCAACCAATATGTAGAATGTCTTAACATCTCACGCATATTACAGAATTATAACATGAAAAGGAAACAAGATGATTTATCACTTGTAGAGAGATTTCTCATTGTTATCAACATTTAGAGATGGGTTCCCTTATGGGACAAAAACTTTCAATGACTTCTGGGGTAAATCTCCTGCCTGGCAATCCTGGAATTTTTTCTCATATGAAATTGGATAAGGTCCATACTATTTATGAAGATCCTACTACCGAATTTCATTAAGAAACGAAGGTGCGAGGTAGAAGGGAAACCGGGGAATGTGGGTTGGAAGTTTGAACCCAACCTCTGGCAATTAGAGCTCCTACCATATTAGACAGTCACTAGACCTCGAAAACTTAAACGGTTAGAAAAATTGGCCTACAATGTATATCAAGTTAACAATAAGTTCTTCAGATATCAAGTGTGTGAATCTGAATCAATATAATCTGACTTGCAAAAGCCATGGAGGGATGGGAATAAGTGAAGGACCTAAAAGGATAATACCACTTTGCCCAACATGATCCAAATCCTGACATATAATTTATCTTCCAAATAAAAAACAGATCTTGCAGGTACATAGTTTAACAATACAATCTAAAAGAATATAAATAAAAACCAATACACAAATGTAGTCAATTTCAAGGAGCTCAACAGGAACAATGATATTTGCAAAGAAAAAAAAATACATAGAACATAAGATGAGACAAAACCCAAATATAAATGCATGAAAGGTAGGAAATTTAGACGCAGAAATCATCCAAAGAATATAATCACAGGAAACAATAGAGGAATTAACACATAAACTATAAAGGATGAACATTCACAGAATACCTGTTTGATGATCTTCTGCTGAAGATCATCTGGGAGTGCATTCTTGGATCGATTGGCAAGAGGGATGTTGGGATTATTGGAGATCAAATAAGGAGGCAACTCCTGGTCCCCAATGTAAAACCAATCAGGGGAAGCAGACTCACCAAGAAAGTGAAAGCAGGGATAAAAATAACCAGAAATGGGCATCTGGGTATGTGATCTTGGCACAAATTCAGGTGCTTGTGCATTGAATTTGAAGGATGGGCTTATTGGGTTTTCTTTCACTTCCATTTCTGGGGCCTCTTGGGTTTTCTCCCCAGGTGGTTGAGGTTGTGCCATTTTTTTTTCCATTTTGCTCTTCTTCTACTCTCTCTCTCTCTCTCTCTCTCTATCTACCCACTCTCTCTATGTGTTTCTGATTTTTTTAGAGTGTTAAGGTTTTTTCTGATTATTGTCTGCAAGTTTAGTAACTGTAATTTGATATTGAAGCCTTGTTTGGCGCCCAAATATTGGGGCATCCGTATTTCAATCTGGGATTTGTAGGGACTGATTTTTCTTACACATGACCGTTGCTTGAGGGTTTGACTGGTTATTTTGAGGTTTCCTTTTTGCCCAAGTGTCCTCTTTTTCCCTCTCAACTAGTCCTACAAATTTGGTCATACAATTACATTTATGATTCATGTGACCATTTTGGGAGATAGAGAGAGTACCCTTCTAACAACCTCTCTCTCTCTCTCCCCATTTTTTTCTTTTCAAAAAGATAAAAAGGAAGACAATTCTAGCATGGTGACACACACAAAAGTATTGTGTGCATAAAGTTGAAAGAAAATTAACTTCCAATTGATAATCTTGTTATAAATAAACTGATAAACTCAATGTAGAGTATTAATTAAATTATTAATACTGTTTTTGTTACTTTTTCATTTAAGAGTGTTACTATTTTCACCCCCTATCCTATTTTTCCACTCACCTTAATTTCCACTCACCATATAAATTTGAAAAAACACAATCATATCTTTCACCCACCGTTATTCATAAAATACCCATATCTGGAGCTAGGGGTCTGGGTTAAGAAATAGAGGAGGAGGAGGGTTCGAGCGGGTGGGTGGAGGCTAAGAGACAGAGGGTGGGGTGGGGTGGGGTTAATCTTTTTTGTATTTTTTATCCTTTTAAAAATAAAAATAAAAATCTATAGCAAAAGACAGAGAATTGTAAAACATTCAAAATACCAAAAAATGCACTTGGTTAATGCAAACATTAAGAATTGAAATTATTAATTAAATGAGGATAATATGGTAAATTCATACTTTTCATAATTAAAAAAAAAAAATTAAAATGAGTAATGCTACACTTACCACATTTATATCCCACATTTTCATACCACCTTATGTGGTAGATGTAGTGGACAATCACATCAATTAAAAAGTGTCAATAAATCATAAAAGATAAGAAAACTTTAAATTAATTTTAATTGATGTGTTGTCCACCTCATCTGCCACATAAGGTGGTATGAGAATGTGGTATACAAATGTGGTAAGAGTAGCATTATTCAATTAAAATTAAAAGAAAATCAGATAATGGATCCTATTTTAATGGAACACAATTATCGATTATCTTTTTTAATTCTAAAATAAACTTAAATTTTTTTTTAAAAAAAAGCCTCTCGCAGGCACTAAAGTGCGTGTGGAGAGGCTAGTGAGTTTTAATGTGTTTTCTTAAGTTCATAGAAGTCATTTTATAAAAGGTAAATTTGTCTTTGAAATTTTGAAGATAAAATGAGTGATGAAATAGAACAAGGTAGTGGAAATAGCAGCACTCATTTTTAATCATGTAAAATAACTGTCTTCAGTTCTAAAACAATGAATGCATCATTAATGGATAAGTTTTAGATGAGACATTTTTATTTATCAAATGTGCATGATTAATAATGTAAGAGAGATGACTAAAGATGAGTGGAGAAGAAATTATCTTTGTGATACTAAAGATGAGTGAAAAATAACACAAACTACATGGATTAAAAAGTGTAATTTAGCTTTTTGGGTTACTAATCCCCATTCAAAAAAATAAGGTATTTAAAAAATGTTCGATTATAGTAAATATGGGCTTAGTCAAGTTGACTAGTGCGAATATGCTTCCCACTCTACACTCCCCCTCTGTAATTTAAATTAGATTAAAATAAAATATTATTTGTATAAAATAAAAAAATTGTTAGATTATCTATTTATATGCTCTCTATTATTGCTGCTTCACCCACTTAAGATTTGGCCCAATATATTTTTTCAGCCCAATAGAAATTCAAAAGCACAAAGTTGAGGAAAGCCTTATTACGGATCAATGGTGGCAAAACTGCTAACACAACAATAGAGGGCCAGCCATTTAGGCCCAATGAGATGTTAAAGGGACATAATTTATGACTTCAACTTTCCATTTGGTCCATTTCTAAGCAAGAACATCAGTTTTTCCACTACTGTGTGAAGACAAGTCCGTGATGACATAGTCGATATACTTCTTATTTATTTGTTGATAAATTACATTGTCTCTAGAGTTGAGATAAAATTATGAGTAACAGACTTATAACTTATGTGATTAAGGACTTGTTTGGGATTGCTTCTAAAAGGACTGAAAGTGCTTTTTACTGACTAAAAGAGCTTTTAATAGCATTTGACATAAAATTATAGAAGCGCTTTATAGAGAAACACATCCTTCATGAAGCACTCCCAAATGCTTTTCCAAGAAGCATTTGGATTTTTTTATGAAAATTCAAGATTTTTATAATGAAAGTACTTTTGTTAGAAGCGCTTATGAGCAGAAGTACTTTCTAAAGAACCGGTCCCAAACAAGCCTTAAGAGTGTCAAAGAGATTCTCCAATAAGTATTTTATGTTAAGGATTGGTTACATATTTCTGATCTCAACCATTATATTAAATGTATGTTGCATATTAATTCTATCAACACATCTAGTTAATGCAATCCGACGACCAAGACTAGAAATATGTAACAAATCATTAACTTAGAAACTTATTTGATAATCTCTCAAGAGCATCAATCCTTGCATTAGAGGTTATGTGTTTTCAAGTACAAGCAATAGTCTAAACTTTAGGTGAGGGGGGTTTCTCACACACACACAACCAAGATGTCATGGTGGTTCGAATCTGAAACTTCTTGTCTGCAAGTCAATGCCCTTTTTCACTAGGCTAAACTTAGTTGGCTAGAAGTTATGTGTTTGATTCTTCCTCACTCAATATCAATTGTAACACCTAAGGTTCTATCAATTGTCTCTGTTTGATTACCTTAATGAAATTTATATATACTCTTGATTTAAAAAATAAAAAAAAAGATAAAAAAAAGATAAAACTTATAAATTTAGAACACAAGTTAACATTTCAAAATTATACTGACCCAAAACTTAGGCTTTGAATCCAAAATCAGAAATTTAGACCCTAATTTAACTTCAGAGCCCTGAAACATGGATCTCATACCTTAGATCTTGGGCATGGTTCCTTGGGCACTTGACCCCAAACAAAACATGTCTTATAAATTCCAAATTTTAAATCTCATCATACTTAGTATCGGCGGTTAAATAAGTTCTAATCCCTTCTTGGCTAATCCATTCATAAACTTTGACATCAATTTTTTTTTATTTTTTTTATAAATGAGTAATGTTAGAGACACTAACTTATTACACCAACTGACACGTTGTCGTTTTATTTATTTTCTTTCTAGACCCGCTATGGACTTTGAGTATTTGCAGCAAATAAAACATTGCCACATCATAAGAATAAACCAATCATGGGGTAAATTGAGAATCAGATGCAAACAACTGTCAGAGAATCTCAAATATGCATTGTTTAAGGCACTTTTCTTATTTTATGGATGGTGAATTTGGTTCTGAAAAACCTGAATCATAAAAAAAACTGAGCAACTCACAAGTGATATGTCAAGTTGCCAAATCTGCCAAAGCTGTCATGGTAAAGCACAAATCTTGTCAACATGAGTTATCAAACACAGTTTCTTTTGGGTGTATGCAACACATGGGAATCTCAGATAGAATTTAGGACCTTGAAAAGTCCTGGAAATAGTTAGTTGCTTGGCCTTTGTACCAAATTTCCAAAACCCTATCTGTAATTGCCCAATTGAAGGTGTTTTCCATGTCAATTATTCCAAATTATGTCATCTCTATCAGAAGGGATCATTATCTATGGCTGGTCTTTGAAGGAATCTTTAATGAGAATGCTGTTGGTGTGGGCCAAGCACTTATATTTTACTTCTGCTGCCATGTGACTTTCTCAAATGTGTGCAGCTGCTTCACATATTCTATCTCCATTCTACCAATAGAGGAAAGAGAATAACTATTGGGTTTGAAATCTGATCAGCTTACTCAAAACCAAAAGAATAAAATAAACCCTTTGTTTAGCAATAGAAATTAATTAGAACCCTCCATCATTTTCATTCACTTCTGTCACCAAACAAACCATTTATACCATCCACAAAAATGGGCCCTCAATATGGGCTCCCTTCATTATTTCTTGTCTATAAGATTCTCTCTATTATTTTGCTTGTGAGAGAGACTGTTTTGTCATGCTGCTCAGATAAACACACCAACTGATTATGTTTTTTTGTAAAGTGGGATATGACAGGGTTAGGTATAAAAGATAGAATCAGCAGGATTTAGTATAATTCTAATAAAGAGGCTTTTTTTTTCCACGGTTAGGAGAGAGGGGTTTTCTCACGCATACACCGTCAAGGTGCAATGAGAGTTCGAATCTAAAGAAATTGACCAAATTATCATATCTTTTGGAATAGTTATCATATCATTCCAGGGAAGAAAAAAAGCAAAAGATAGAGGGTTTTTTGTTTTGTTTTTTTGGGTCCAAGAGATTAATGTTCTTGAGTAGCTGAAACAGAATTGCTGGAAAAGGAAAGGCTAGGTTGGCTCATGAGTTTCATTGATTTGGCCTTCTGCATATTTGAGCCCTTCATCATTTCTGATTTTACCATTTTTGCGTCTGCAATTAGGACAAATGTCATAATCGTTTTTGGTTGGATTTTTTGCTTTACCCTGCAACAGTTAAAATCTCTTAATTAAGAACTCAAACTGATACTTATTAGGTGGCCTGAATTTGGGAGAATAATGTCAACTTATTCCTTGTCTACTTTTCATAAAATAAGAAACCATCAGTTCTCAGAGGGATTGAAGATAATGACAAGAAAATAGAGGAGATAAGTCCGGATCTTGTCCTTTCATCTTATTCAATACAGCTAAAACACTGCCAATCTGCCATCCACCAAATTGAACATTGACACTTATTTTTTTAATTATTGGTAGCCAAAACATTGAAATTAATCATTGCTCTCTTTCAAGCATGTTTATCTCCTGTTCTAGTAGTAAATGCGTTGATGGCTTTATTTTAGAGAATTGTTCACAAAATCATGTTCAAATGCTTATGTAAATTAGACTCAGTCCTTGATGCAATTTTTCAGAACAGAACAATCTGAATGAAGCCAAAAGGGTCTCACGGAGCCTTGACAAAACATAGGGGTTTTTTTTTTCACAGTTAGGAAGGGAAGGGGTTATTCTCACACACACACACAACACAGTGTCATGTGATCGAACTACAGACCACTAGTCTTGACAAAACAAAGGTTGCACTAGCTAAAAGAGTTAAAGATCACTTCTTTTTCAGTACAAGCGATAGTTTAAACTATAGGGAATGAAGATTTCTTACACACACACACTCACACACAACTATGATGCCTTGGGGATTTAAACCTAAGACCTCTAGTATACAAGTCAATGTCCTTTTCCATTAGGCTAGAAGCAAATTAAAGATAACTTAAACAATAAAAATATAGGCAAAATGGGATTGAATTGAAGGCTCAATTTCATTAATGCAAAACCATTTTTTTTTAAACTATAAGCAATATTTTCAAATAATATGATGGAGTAATTAAATATCATCTCATTTGAGCCTAGGAATGTCAAGCAGAAGCATAGTTTCAAAATGCCATGGACCAAAAGAGGACAATAGTAATCTTGAAAATACCGAAGTTGTCATCTACTTAGGAAGGCATACCTCCAAGGACATTAGAATATGTTAGCTGTTAGAGGGTTCTGCTAAGTCCTAAAGGTTTGGTATCTGGAGTTGTCCAATCCAGGGTGAAAACAAGAAGAAAAAAAGCAAACCATTCTGCACAACTTTTCTGTTTGGATTTGTGGAAGTCTTCAGCAATTTTGTCCAAAAAGAAAGAATACAGACAACAATTAGGCAAAACTGAAAACAAGATGGTTCGAGTGCCTGGTTTTTAACAATCATAAAGCATAGAATTTTGACTTTTTTTTTTCATTAGTTGAAATGTTCAATTGATGTTTGCTGTTGGATTTCAAACATTTCATCTGCGTCTTGGATTTCATAGTTTGACCAATACTTCCATCATTGCTCTGAAGATAATTTAGACAAAGGAGCTCTCTTCAGTCTGAGAATTAAAAAGGGATGAAGCTGCAGGATAAGTTTTCAACAGATTGAGAGAGAAACAGATCCCTCAGGGTCCATTTAAGATGAGATCATGATTGAATTGTTCCACCACCTGAAATGCTTAAGAACCCATCTGAAAGACTTCAAATCTAAAACAATAAAACTTCCATGGAAACTATGAGCTTGATGTAGGAAAAATGGCCTTGTTTCTTCCATGGACATGAGGACCTAACCAAAAATTCTTATACCAATTTTGAGACAATAAAACTCGTACTCAAGACATAGGGGAAGGGAAACTAATCCTGCAAAATTTCATAGCCGCTCTGTCTGTCTCTCAAGATCCTTCTCCTTTTATGTATAATGTAATTATATTTTTCTTTATATTCATTGGCTCCTCCCATGTATAAATATATCTGCAAAATTGATGGTGGATAAACTCTATACATCATTTTTTCCAGGTTTTTGAATGTGACCTTTCCAGCTATAACTTTCAGATTTTGCATCTTCATCATCTTCATCATCTCCACCGGTTCCAGTTAAATGGAGGGGACCTTGGGGTGAGCCAGATTGGGAACTACTAGCTTTTGAAGAATCAGCATATTGATCTTGGGACATCCACAAGCCCCCCAAAACAACTACAGATTGATTGTCTGGGGCTGCAGTGGCAGCTGGAACTCTTCTTGTGTGAAGTCGGTATTTCTGCATTGACATGAAAATTCGCTCAATTTTCAACATCAACATTCAATGACAAAAGTAATAAAAGTGTTTGATAGTTCAACCTCATTTTTTCTAAGGACGAAGACTTCCACAATGCCTTCTCCTTTGTTACTTTGAAATTTTTTTACACAATCAAACAGAAGCAAGGAAAGGGAAACTTAGAACCGACCTGCAAATGACTCTTCACTTCGTCATTGGTCAAGCCATCAACCTGCATGAGTTCTCTAATTTGCTTTGGAGTGGCCACTGCAAAAGATCCAAAAAGTTCAAGTTAGACACTATATATGGTAGGGGAAAATAAAGAGAGTATAATAATCCACCACAGTAATGTATGCAGAGAGACAATCAATTTATCATTGAGGTAGCAAATCCATCAATATCTGTTATGCAACAAATATTCTGTCACTTGCCAGATTCATACTAATATCCTTATACATACGTTTGATTAATAGCACAAAATATTCTGGAGTTCAACCACTGAAAATTAAAGTAGCCTAGCCATAGAAGGAAAATGACAATACTTGCACCTTTTCCAGATTCAAACATTTAATAATCCACAATTCCATTGTGAACTCTAAAGAATCAAATCCATGAAACCAAAATAATGAGCAAATAAAACAAATTTGGGAACTAATTCCCATTTAAGTTTTAGAATCTAGACTTTCACAATCACAAAAGTAAGACATACATGTTAATTTACATTAGAACCTGAATTTCAGATTCAATATCTAACAGTTGACCAGAAAAAAAAAGTTCCAATATCTAACCTTGTGAACCTCCAAGTTGCTGCAAGGCATTGACGAATCTCCGATGCAACTCCGGCGACCAGCACCTTCTCTGTTTCCGGCTAGTTGGTTGCTGCGGTGGAGTCCGCATATTGGATTGAGCATTGGCAGTAGAGAAGGAGACTGCCCTGCCACAAGTGGATCTTGAACCACTGGAAGCTGATTCTTCCTTTGGATTCTTGATTCCTGGAGTGAGCAAAGACAGCCCATGAACTGGCAATTCCTCCTTATCTTCCTTCCTCGCCGCCGTGACAGAGAAAGCAGGGTATGTCTTGAATGGCATAAATGCTCTTCCAGCAGTCCTATTTCTACACGTCTGGAAGGGATCCTCATTTGCTAACCCATTTTCTGCCTCATTTCTCTGCCATAGTTTATTGTCTCAGTTAGAAGATAAAGTTCAATGCTTTGTTTAGTTTTATTCAAATTTTTTGATGTTTTGTTTGTTTACCTTAGAATCAATTTCAGAAACTTGCTTTCGATCATATGGGAAATCAGTAGAGGGATGTTGATAATTATCAGTGTTCCAAAGCTGGACAGAGCTCATCCAATTCTTCTTATCCCTAGAGTCTTTTTCTTTCTTATTGTTATTGGTTCCTCCATTGTTTTTTTCACAATCTTTCTTCAATGGTATGAATTCTTCCAACACTGGTTGAACATTTGGTGCCGCACATTGCACTGCATCTTCCTTCAGAGCTAGAATCGCTGCAATCAATATGAAGAAAGCAAACCCAGAAAAAGAGTTAGAACGAAACAAAAACCCATTGATCAATATCTTCAAAACTAGAAACCCATTAAACATTTCGACCACAATAAAAAACCCATTAACCAAAACCAACAAACACCAAAAACCCCAATTCTCAAATCGAACTAATTTAATCATTTACTGAATACCCATCAATCAAAACCATAAAAAATCCAAAACCCCATCTCCAGAATTGGTTCCTCTTTTCCCCAAAAAAAAAAAGTTAAAAAAGGAAAATATGTACTTAAAAATCGAAGTTTTAATGTTTTAGTGGAATGGAAAAACAAAAACCAACCATCATTCAAGAGAAACATGCAAAGAGGAAGCTCGCGCTTGAAGGCGTCGATCTTCCTCATCTCTTCCTCCAATCGCTTAACAAAATCGTCAAGCTTGGACAACCTCTCGGATACACTACCGATCATTGAAACCTCCTTGAGGAAATCACTGATCGTTTTAGGTACAAAAGTGGGTCTAAAATCCAAGCTCAGTTCAGGAGGAACCGAACCCATTTGAGATTTTTGAAGATTTGGATCCTTCAGGTATTTTGGTTTCTGTTTGCAATCGCTTTGTTGCTTTGTGTTTGTGTGTGATTCACCAGAGAGAGAGAGAGAGAGAGAGAGAAACAGAGAGGTGAAAACCGAGAATCAGAAATAGTGAGGATCTATTTATATAGACAATGTTATAAATAATACAGTGAGTAGGGTGTTTGGGGGCAGAAAAAAAGTGGGAAAATTAAAAAGGAAAAAAAAATGGAAAAAGGAATATTAAGTCGAGAGAGAGGAAGAAGAAGAAGAAGAAGAAGAAGAGAAGTTTCGAGGGAGAGAGAGAGCATCGGCCAGTTTGGACGGGTTTTTAAAAAAGTATCTTTCGTGGCGTCGCGTCTTTTATCTACCCTTCTGTCCTCCCGAGTTAACTCGGGCTTTTTTCCTCTTTTGAGTGAGTTAGCTCGGGCATCGAAAGTCTACTTTGTTTCTCTCTAATAAATAGTAAATAGTAAATAGTAAATACTCGTATCAATTTCTTGCTATAGTATCTTGACAAAATAAATACAGATAGTGACGGTGGTAGAAGAATAATAATATTCATATTGTTTGAAGAAGTGGAGACTATTTTTCCCTTGTATTGGATGACTATGTATGAACCAAATAAGGTGTCATGTTGCATTCAAATTTCAGATATTTATTAATGAGTATTTGGATTTTGGATTTGTTTTGATTGTTTCATTTAATGATCAGATTACAAGAAATTTTTTATTTATTTTTGGGTTAACTACTTTTTCGGTCACTCGGTTTTACACGAAAATTCAATTTGATCACTGGGAAATTTTTTAAATCAAATTGGTCATTGTGTTTCTCAAAATTTACAATTTATAGACAATCTGTTATGTTTCGATTAAGTGCAGTTTTTATTTTTATTATTTCAAGAAGCACCTTTAGTCTTCTTCCTTTAACTCAACAAGTTAGGGTATGTTTTACTATTAAGGTTAAAACAAATTTGGGAAAATCTTGTGTTGAAATTGAATTTGTGGGGTATAAGGAAAATAAAAAAGCGAAACCAAATTAAAATGAAATCAACAACTTACCAATATATTTTGGTGCTCTATCATCGTGGTTACGTCTCCTTGCCATCCGAAGTCACAATACGATTCTCACTCAATCCGAAGTCACAATTTCCATTTCAGTACAAGATTTGTCCCAATTTCTTAAACGCTAATAACACAATATACCCCAACTCATTGAGTTAGAGGAAGACTAAACGTGTTTCCTAGAAAAATAAAAATAAAAACTACACTTGACAAAAGATAGCGGAATGTCTATAAATTGTGAACTTTGAGAAACACAATTACCAATTTGGCTTCTTTTTTTATCTTTTTTTTTATCTTAGTGAATAATTTGAATTTTCGTGTAAAACCTAGTGTCCAAAAAGGTATTTAATATAAGCGATAGTCTAGACTACAAGGGGAATGAGGTTTCTCATATACACACTACCACGGTATTATGAGGGTTTAAACTTATGACCATTGGTCTGCAAGTCAAGATCTTTTTCTACTCGGCCAGTTGGCCAAGCAAATCTTAAGTAGGTATATTTTGTGCTTTCCAATTGTGGTTTAGCATTATGAGATTAATATGAAGATACATTAAACAAATTTGGTCTAATAGTATTTGCCTCCGCTTGATTGGAGGAGATTTCAAGTTTGACTGACATGGATGACGATGATGATATATATATATATATATATTTGTGATGAGTTCAATACCTAGTTAAATGTAGTAATCGTGTAACCTCGTTGTAGGTGTATGAATCGGCTATATTCTATTGTGTATGGAGGCATGCATCCTTACATCATTACATGTGAATAGAGCTAAACAATTTTCAAATTTCTAATACAATACATTAACATAATTGACAAAATGAAAGTATAAACATAAAAAAGAAACACTTGTGTTGGAGCCAGATGTTTTTGCCTTTCGGTCATATATTTTATTTTAGGTCGCCCCATGAAGATCGACATACTATTCAAACTCTTATCTTATATCCTCCCACACTTTAAATTCAATATTGTGTCATTTTTAAATGTAGAAAAAGCCCTGCCCAAAGAAATCAAAATATAGTTTGATTGATGAACGCTACATAAGGAGGTGCTCATGAAGGAAAAAGAGGTTGAACAGCCAACACTCACATGCAACATTCAAACACCATGATCTAATCTTGCCCAAGTGTTTTAAAGCAAACAACTTGCCATCCAAATTCTATAATTTAATGACCAATTTAGCTCACATGAATGAATGCCTCTTTATTCTTCAAAGCAACAAGATATATATGCCAGAGAATCAGATAAAGAAATTGATCTTCATTTTGCTCAATATCCCCACATGCTTACTTGAGTTGGCCAATTAGGGTCAATTTTCTTAAAGCAACCCTTCATGAAGAAAAGGTGAAAAGAAATGGTCAACAGGCACTCTAAGCCATAGCCATAAAAGCATCCAACCACCAATTTGAGGCCTCATCACCAACTTTGAACCCAATAGATGCTCTAAGATTTGGTCTCTTTTTTTTTGTGTGAAACATTTCTCAAATGGCAGGTAAAAATAAAGTAAAATAATATGGTAAAGTGTCTTGAAAGGGTCAATCTCACAACCTAAAAGTTGTTCTTCTTTCAAAGTGAATTATATTGTAATAGCTTTACATCTCTTTTATAATTTTGTTGTTGAGCATGGATCTTGACCCTCCAAATCCAATCTCCATTCTCAGTCAAATGGAGAATATAATTTTGCCCTAATTATAACCCACTTTTTGTAGCCCTGGCTTGTAGGTCAAAGTGGTGTAATTTCTTTAATGGGAACAGAAGGGCCACCAAAGTGGAATTTTCATGTTATAGTCAGTCTATGTCCATTGAGATTCCTACAGATGTACAATATTTTATGACCTCCAGTCCTTCACAGCCATGTATTATTCATGTGATTATTTAATAATTTGTAGAAAAAATAAATTTAAAAAAATAGTAGTTGTTTGTTTACCATTGGCAGGGCTTTCTATGCTATTGGGTAGTGGTTAGCTTTTTTTTCTTCCCCAATTTCAAAGGAATCCTCCCCACTTTCAAACCTTAAGGTTCGGCTTGGTGGATCACCAAATTTGTTTCTTCTATGCCTTTTTTCTGGATTCCAAAACCCAAAATTTAGGTCATCTTTCCTTGAAGGTTCACAAATCATTTGGCGTGTTCGAGTAGGATTAATTCCTACTTAAAGTGTGAATTAGAAAAATGTTTCAAATCTACCGAAACCAAATGAAGATAACTACCGTTAAATTAAAAAACTAGTCGAGTACATGGTGAACATTACGCTCTCCCCGTTTTCTTATAAAGATTAAAAGCAAAAAAATCAAAATAAATCTATAGATTCCGATTTGCATCAATTGATTAATGACACTTAGAAAACCAACAAAATCCAGAGCAATTATTAAGCGACTATTCAACATGTGATTGGGTGATGTTTATGGACCCATCAATTCAGCAAAGGTGGCTACAAACTTAGAGATAAGGAATCTTGTGAAAAATGTTGGGGCCAACTTCGATATCGCCAGAGATTTCAGTAGGGAACAAATATATATGTTAATGTTGGCAGGAGGAGGAGGGAGGAAGAGAGAAGAAGATGCCCTTTTCAAGGAAAAAAAGACAGGCTTTTACAGCCGTTAGATTCCCATCTCTTTTCTTTAGTCCATAGAATTGAAGAATCTATCTCAATTCTAGTATTCTCTTGAAGCTGCTCCACCAAATTCAATTTTCTCTGTTTTAATATATTTATTAAAGAAAGTTTGGATTGGATCCGGCTCCAATTTCTCGCATCTCCATTAATTTTTGTCGGATGCTTGTAATCTAAGAATCTTTGTGTCTATTCCATTCCATTAGTTTCCTATCACATCCTTCCAATTTTTCTAGGTCTTTTTATTTACATAAGAAAGCACTAACATGTGTATCCACACAAACAAAAAAAAACACACTAAAATGTATTTTTTGTGTTCAATTTTCTATCTTAAAATTGAAGAAAAAAAATGCTAACATGGTCCAGCCTTGTGAAAAAAAGACTTAACTTGTAGACCAGATGTCTCAGATTCGAATCCCCACGGCATCATAGTTGTGTGTGTGTGAGAAATCTCCCTCCATTGTAGTTTAGACTATCGCTACATCCCTTTTATTTTAAAAAATTGAAGATATTCATTTTTCTCAAGCCAGAATGATAATTCATTGCTTTTTCTCAACCCACCAAGTTTTTTTTTATATATATATAAAATAATGATAATATTCTTTAAACGTAGATATATCTGAGTCAAAAGTTGTTTTCTCAACAATATATTAATTTCTGTCAACGAATTCCATTGGCCAAAGGAACCGATATATTATTTATTTTGGCCGGTAGCACTATATTAATTAATTCATGAAAACACAATACAATGGCAATTTTTTTTTATTACCAAAGTTAAGAGGGAGGGGGGAAACTCACACGCACAGATATTATGGGGACTTGAACCTATGACCATATGGGTGCAATTTAATTGCATTTTGTTAGATACCTTGGTTTTGAAAAAACGGTTGTACATCAATATCCTCAATTTATAATTTTCTTAACCATCCAATTAAAAATAAGATGAAAGTAATTGAAATTTCCAATTTTTTTCCCCATATCTTTATCTTCTTCCTTTAAAAAATTAAATATTCAGATATTCTAAAACAAGACCCAACTAATGCCTAAAATTTCTTCCATTTCTTCAACAATTTAAATAATCTCTTTATTTCCCCAAAACAACTGGTTGGTTTTCCCATGTTATGTTTTGGTTCAAGTTGAGTCAATAAGTTGAAAGAAAAAAAATCAAGTTTGGTGGGTAATAACAAGAAATTTATATGAAATTCCGAGTTCAAATGTTGTAAACGAGAATTTGACGTGAAAAGAAAGTTTGACAAAAGATTTATACACTGAAGCCTAATCTGAATTTGTTCACATGCCAATGTGATCTT